CACCTGCAAGCCCGTTCAAACAAAGAGCGGGGCAGTGACGCCTGGGGAGTGAAGAGTTTAGCAGGAATCGCGGGGTGGCAGCGAGCCACGAAGTCCAGGGACTCTCCCCGGTGCTGGTTTCAAGCTCTGGGCGGAGCAGGAAGCCGGGGTGGGGGGGCAAGTGCCCCAGTGCAGCCCCTCCATCTGCCCCTGGCAGCCTGCAAGGAAGGCCTGTTCCGGGGGGGGGAGCGATGTGGGGGTTCAGGGAGTGGTGCTGTGAGGAGCTGGGCCAGGAGCAGGGGTGGGGCCGGGGGGTGCTTTGGGGCACTTGCACCCCTGATCTTCCTGCCCCCCGCCAAAGATCAACACCAACGGCTTTGCGGAGGCAGCGACATTTTTGGTTGGGCAGCACTGGGGCAGTTGGCGGCTGGTCGGCGTCTCCCCGATTCCTGCTAAACTCTTCACTCCAGAGGCATTAGCACCCCCGTCCTTGTAATGGTCTTGCTGTTCTGGCAGCTCGGCTCTGCCTCCCGGCTGCCTGGGGCAATGAGCCCTGCAAACCCCACCCTGGGTCCCACACCAAGTGCCTGGCAGCTGCTGCTGGGGCAGGGCAGCCCGAGGCACCAGCCAGACCCCGCGGCCCGCGGCCCGTTTCTGGGCTGGGCCCTGCGGTCAGAGCAGCCGGCTCGCAGGCGTCACCGAGCCTGTCCGCAAATACTGGGGAAAGCCAAGCACAAGGCAGGGGGGCAGTCCCCCCCGCCGGCACTGCCCACAGGGCTGCCTGGAGCTGCCCCATGCAGTGCCCCACGGTTCTCCTTTATTGTGAGCTGCCCTGAGGCTTTACAGCAGCCGACAGGGCCGCGGTGATGCCAGGGGCTGCGTCCTGTCGCTGGGCTGGTTTAGACAGGCCTCATCCTGCTTCGCTCCCTTCCAGCCTGACTCTCCTGGGGTTGCCCGACTCTACGGCAATCGGTGACTGAATCCCAGCTTCGACGCCGGCTGCAGCGCCGAGCCCCCTTGCCCGCTGGTGGGACGTGCCCCCCTGCTTGCCCTGCACTGTTAGACCCAGGGAGCAAGAACTAAACCCGCCCGGACTCCACAAACTGGTCTGTCTGGATTCGGGTGCTGTCAGCTGCAAAAGCCCTGGGGAGAGGGAGGAGGGGAATAAAAATCCCGTGGAAAGTTGGTGTCAGGGATTAGCCAGCACGGGGGCAGCCAGGAAGACCTGAGCAGCGAGGTCCCTCCATGGGAAACGTGGCAATGGGCGTGGAAGGAAACTGGTCCGTGCCCAATTGTCGGGGGTCTGCGCTCGGTCCAGGTCCAGCAAAGCCGGTGCAACCCCATGGACTCCGGCTTGCAGACTGTCCCTCGGGCTTCTGGCCCTGGCCCCGGCCCCGTGCCTGGTTTGGACTCTGCCCTTGGGTCTCCCTCCCAAGTCCTGCCTCAGCCCCTGGCTCCCACCTTCCCTCTGTGGCCTAACCATTAGGCGAGACTGCCTGTGCCCTGGCGCCTTATGAGCAGACTTGGGAGCCAGTTGGGTAAAACTGCAGCGGGGCTCGTGGCTCCGCGCCCAGCCTGGCCGCCACGGCCCGTCGTCCCTTCTGCAGGCGCACGTTTGGACTCTGGCCCCCCTGCTCTGCCGGCCGGGGACCCAGTCTGCGGCTCTGCTTTCTGCTCCCAGCCCAGGCCCCCTTGCCCAATCTGCTGCTCTGCTTTCGGCTTCTTGCCCCATGCTCTCTGCTGCTCTGCTTTCTGCTCCCAGCCCTGTGCCTCCTGGCCAGTCTGCAGCTCTGCTTTCTCCACCCTCCCTGGCCCCCCTTGCCCAATCTGCTGCTCTGCTTTCTGCTCCCTGCTCCACATCTGATTTGCAGCCCCTATTTTCTGGGCAACAGGCAGTGCCTGCTCCTGTTACAGTTGTACCTCCCGTGGGTCCCCCTCGGCCCCAGCACCAGCATCCCCAGCCTGACTGTTGCCTTCCTCTCTGACCGCTGCCGCCACGCCTCGTGGTCACGCCTGGGGCCGCAGTGCCCGGACCCTGCGGGTGAGGGACAGTCTCCTGGGCACGGGGCTTCAGCAGGGACTTGGTGCTGGAGCGGGGGCCACGGGTGTGGGACCGTGGCTCTCCCTAGGCTGGGCTGGGCCACAGGAGGCTGGCCGGGGCGGGTGGATTCCTGACTCTGTTTGCTTTGGGATCCGGTGACGGGGTTGCATAAATCCCCAGCAGCTGACGACTGGCCCCAGCACTTGCACCCCGTGGGCCGGCCGGACAGACGGACGGACAGGTGAGGGCATCTCTCCCTCAGGCCCTGCACCCGGGGCTGCCACCGCCTCTGTGCCCCGGGGGACCAGGTCCTGTCCCCTCCAGCCCAGGGGACTGGGCATGGTGCCCCCTCACCATCTCTCCTCTGCTGCTGATGCTCAGCTCCTGGCCTGGGCCCGGCTGCCCTCACTGCACCCAGCCCATCGCCCGGTCCCCCCGGACGTGAGAAGATGGAGCCGGTCACTGGCATCAGCCTCGGCCTCCTCGGCTGCCTCATGCTCCACCTGTCACTGGCTGGTGAGTCCTGTCCCCTGCTCCGAGCTGGACCATCGGGCAGGAGAGACCAGCACAGTGGGGTCCCCACAGCCCTTTCCCCCCAGGTCCCTTCACCCAGCTCCATCGGGCAGCCCAGCACCAGCCCCGGGGCAATGGGATGGGCGCGGGTGAGACCGAGTCCCCAGGGCCTGAGGAGCTGCAGAGCCCACATGCTGTGCCCGGGGCTGGGGCTCGGGGGCTGCTGGGGAACTGGGGGAGCCCTGCTGAGTCTTGCTGCCCCGGCGCTGGGGGGCCTGGCCGCTGTGCACGCCCGCACGGACCCCGGTGCTGTCGGGGCTGCAGGAAAGCAGCAGTTTGGCCCCGAAACGGCCTCTCACCACGGCGTCTTCCTCACCCTGTCCCCTTGGCCTGGCAGGGGCTCAAGGCGCCGGCTGTCGCCGGGGCTGGGACGAGTCCGAAGGCGGCTGCTACAGGTACTTCCCGCAAAAGCTGAGCTGGACGCGTGCCGAGGTGAGCAGGCCCCGGGGCTGCGGGGAGGGCGCCGAGGAGCAGTCGCGGTCGCGGTGCCAGGACGCAGCGGGCTCGGGGGCACCAGTTCGCTCCCGGGGGCAGCGGGGAAGTGACACAGCCGCCCTGAGGGGCTCGTGCTGCAGGGACCCTGCCCTTCTCCTCCTCCTGCGGCAGTGTGCACCTGCCTTCTCAGTGCGGCGGTGACGGCGCTGCCCCATCTCGCTGCACCTGGCCTCGTCGTGTCCATGTCCCTGGCACGTCCTTGCTGTCCCGCCGCTATCGGCCCCCGGGATTCAGCCCCTGCTTGTGGTCCGGCACCCGCTGTCGACCTGGCCCCTTGCCTCCCGGGGTGGCGTCTCCCGTGGGGCTCTCTCCCCTCCTGCTGCCCGTGGGGCTGAGCTGCCTCGTCCTCATCGCAGGCCCAGTGTCGGCGCTTGGGGAAGGGGAGCCACCTCGCCTCCCTCCACGACAAGCAGGAGCACCAAGCTGTCGCCGACCTCGTCAGCCGCCATCAGCTGCACAGCGACGAGGACGAGGATGAGGACAGGGACAGGGACGGGGACGGGGACGAGGTCTGGATCGGACTCTGGCTGCCGGCGGGGGTGAGTGCCTGGTGTCTGCGCCAGCTCGGCCGCCAAGGCCCCGGCTCCAGAGGGCCCGTCTCTCCCGGGCTCAGGGGGTCATTGGCAGGGAAGTGCCACCTTGCACCATGGGCCCCGGCCAGCCTCTGCCTGCCCCCTGCCCCCGCCAGCCCCACAACCCGTGTCTGTGTGCGCAGCATCTCTGCTCTGCTCACACCCCCACGCTGATGCCTCCCTGGCCCGTCGTGTCTGCCCCGTACTGAACCATCCTGGGTTTTATTATTATTTCGACCAGTATCCCCAGGACAGCAGTTAGGTTCCCCTGCCCCAATATAACCGCATGTCCCCTGTTAAATACGGCTGCCAGCCCTCCAGTCCTTGGTACCGGGGCTGCCCGTTGTGCCTCCGTGTCCCTCCCAGTGCATCTCCGCTCCCTTCCCACCCCCGTGTCCGCAGGGCTGGGGCTGGCAGTGGACGGACGGCTCTGCCGCAGACTACGAGACCTGGCACAAGGACAGCTCGGAGGACTTGGACTTGGACTCAGACTCAGACTCGGACTCGGACTCGGACTCGGACTCGGACTCGGACTCGGACTCGGACTCGGACGAGGTCTCTCCCAAAAAACAGCTCTGCGTCATGCTGGAGGAACGCTCAGGTGAGCGCAGGTGCAGGCCGGGGCATGGATGAGGGGGGCAGGCAGCGTCCTGTCCCCACACGGCCCCTCTCCCTGGCCCTGCACCCTTGGTGGGGATCGGCCTCTGGCCCGCAGCCGGCCTGGGACCCAGATGCAGCCGGCCGAGCCACAAGCACACGGCTGCCCGGGGACCACGTCCACCCCAGCCCCGTGTCTGTGGAGGAGGGGCGTGGGGCAGGGAGAGTCGGCCCAGCTCCCCCTGCTCCTCTCCCCAGGTTACCAGACGTGGGGCAGCACCTCCTGCGACGACAGGAACGCGTTTGTCTGCAAACTCACGCCCTAGGGCAGCGCTCGCCTGTGCCACGACGGCTCCCGGGCCCCAGGTTCAGGTGGATCTGGCCTCTCTTCTTCCCCACGGAGCCGTGTCCTGCCGCCTCAGCCGCCTCGGCTGCCACGTCCCTACTTTGAATCAATAAACTTTCCCTCGAGCATATGCCTCCTCTGTAGCCCCTTTCACCCCATCCGCGCCCTGAGCGTCGGCTCTGCAGACCCGTGAAGAGCCGGGCTCACGTGGGAGGGAGGCACGGGCTCCAGCCGGAGGGTCCCCGGGGCGAGGAGAGAACCGAGAGGGGCAGGGAGGGCTGCGCGGGGGCCCCGTTGCTCTGGGGCTGAGTCCATCCCACAGCCCAGACTGGGGTTAGGAGCCGCAGTGGAGACCTGAGCTGTGACCGTCTGAGCTGGTGCTTGGCATCGGTGGTTTGGGCTGTGGCTACCGGGGCGGCGTTGAGGCCCCATCGCAGGCTCTGCAGCATGAGACCGGCTCCGGGCAGAGATGCAAAGGGCCAAAGCCCAGGAGCTGAGGTCCAAGGCAGCGGACCAGGACCGTGGGCTCCGGTAGAGAAAAGGGGGTCAAGGCTGGGGCAGATGAAGCCCTGGATAGCTTGAAAATGGCATTTAGAGATTTGCTTTTGGGAACTGGCTTGGAGACTTGGAGGCCTGAGAGGGGGCTGCCTTGAAGGGGAAGCACCCCGAGGGGAGCACCAAGACCCCGAGACTGAGTCTGGGCAGAGAAGCTCAGGGACGGGGCCAGAAGTGGGGAGCACCCTGGGAGCTGCTTCTGGCCCCAGGGACGACCTCAGCGTAATGCAGTAACACGGCAAGGCAGGTGAGGGACGGGGAGGTCTGCGCCGTCGGTTGTGGCCGCAGCCCCTGCTCACAGCCGTGCCAAGAGCCAGCGCCGAAGTTCTTCGAACTTCTTCCCTGTTAAAATAAACTTCGCCGTTGGAGCAGGGAGGGATGCCAGAGCCGGGGGGACTCTGCACCGCTGGAGGTGTCAGGGGAGGGTGCAGCTCCAAGGTTGGACACGGGGTTTTCTGGGCTGGTTTGGAGGGGGCTGACCCCGGATTGGATGTGACCCCGCAGCTCCCTGCCGGCCCTTGTGTCTCTACGATTGCCCTGTGGCCCCTGCCCACCTCCACTGCCACCAGCACCCACGCCGGCTCCCTGCCTGCCTGCCTGCCATGGGGAGGCTTGGGGAGCTGGTGTGCAGGGGTGGGGGTGCCGCCCCGGCCCATGACAGCTCCCCAAAACTCCCTATATAGCCTGGGGGCCCATATAATTGCCCACCGCTGCTCTATGGCAAGGCCCTTCATCGGCATAGACCTGATATCATCACGGCGCCCGATGGTAGAGATCATAACACTGCCTCGGTCGCCCGGGGAGGGATCCACGTGGCTTCGCTCCCCCTTGTCCTTCTTCGTCAATCCCCGCAGCCGAGGACAGTCGTCTTCCACGATTGTCTTATCTGCGGGTCTGACGCTTGCTGACGAGGCCAATTCAGGATCAGTGGGCTCTGCTGCAGCTCGGGCACACGTCTCCACGCGGGGTGGGCGGCTCCGGGGTCTCGATTCGGTCCTCGACGCGCCGTTTCTGCTGCTCCTGCTTTCCCGTCGCCTGTTGCTGTCACGAGGTCTCAGTCTAGGCTCCTGTTGAACCACTCCCACATCTAGCAAAACCCAAAGGCCTCTCAGACTCGCCTAATGAGGGTGAGTTTCCAGGGCATTCATAAAGCACGCCTGGCACGAAGGAGCCTGCCGACTGCAGTGACAAATCGGCATAATTAAAAAGCAGTCCTGGAAATACGCCTGAGTCTTAGGACAAAGCATTACAGATCCAACTTATCAAGTAATGACGCAGCCGTCCGGGCAGCGTGGCGCTCCTGGTCGATTCCCTCCGAGGCAGCCCCTGGGGAAGGACTCTCGAGGGCTCAGGAGCTGGAAACTGAGGCAGGATCAGCCCTGTCCCAACCACATAAACCATCATGTGAACTCTTCACAAAACTACAGTTGTCCACGACACAGCCCCTGGGACACAGGGGGGCCGTGGGCACCCGCAAAAATGATTCTCACGTCTTTTTGTTTGTGCCCCCACGTGCCCAAAGCTTCTGATTACCTTGGCCTGGTCTGGGAGCATTTGGGCTCTTCTGGAAGTAGGAGTTAGAGCCCTGCAGGGCCGGCGGGGCTTGCTTGTCGCATTTATGGCAATAAAAAGAGAACACGGTATTCGAGCAGGTGCTGGGGTTCCTAGAAACAGGGTGCCCTTGGTGCCAAGAAGGCTACGGGCATCCGGG